AGTTGTTTCGAATTCTTTTATTCCCAAATGGCTGCAAATGCAGCAGACCCAACCCAACCATTCATTTGTTTCCCATCTCAAATATAACTCAATGGTCAATCAATTTATATTGAGAAATGATAGGGATACATAATTTTTGATATATAGGTGTGTTAACCCTCTCACATGACACCAAAATTTATGTACAAGAATAGCTTTATCCATTTATATTTGTTTCCCATCTCAAATATAATTCAATGGTCAATCATTTGCTTTCTCTTTTATTGTTTTTGTCCGGAGTAAACATACTTGATCAGGATTGGTGACAGGAGAGAGGTGACAGACGTCTGCATACCAATGTCTGTTTGAATTTTTTTTTTCAAACTGTTCAATCATAATCAACACACGTCACCCTATCGCCAAATCCCGTCACCAACCCTGTTTGTGTAGCATAACTCATTTGTACGATAAATCACCATTACGATTCATGGAAAATTGCACCAATGGTCAATAAGCTATTTCCAAACTTGAGGCTTGTTTGAGCCACATTATTCTAAAAATTCATTTTTTTTTTTCAAAACTCATTTTCAATCATGTATTATCCCATAAAATAATTTTATACGTAAACCCAAATCTTTTTCCTATTTTTTAACATACATTTTCCAAAAATCACTATTCCAAAATATATTATTCCCAAAAATGGAGCTCAAACAAGTGTTTATATTATTGCCACAAAATATAATCAAGTACAACGAAAATCATCCAAGTCTTTGTTATCCGTGGTCACATGGAAACATAAGTCATTATAAATTTGAGCAGACCAACATAAGTTGGGTAATATGTTGCTCCTTTTTAAGGATTGGGAACCAATTGTCCAATTTCCCTTATAATTTTTATCTCCTCTCAATTTTTTTACCCAATCTTAATATAAATCTTCGTCTGAGATGACTTACTATCTACTTTGCTGCTGGATGAGAAGGATCAAAAAATTCAACTGAAAATATCCTCATTTTTTTTAATCCATGCAGGATAACGGATTTTTTTGTACAAAAATAGGGGATTATTGCCATCAGAAGAGAAATTGAAAAGATTTAAGAGAATATTGTCAAAAAAATAAAGATTGAAGACGAAAGTGCGAAAATGGTAAACACTGGGTATGGCAGCTGCATTTTCCCCAAATTTTTCTAGCCTGTTACAAAAATCTTCAATTAAGATAGCAAGTGAAATTGGAAAGAGTCAACATGAAACCTCTGCACATTATTTCATTAGACACATTTTGTTACATAACTTTATTTAAAAGCATAGCTCGCCATGTCAAGGGAAAAGTCTGAAGTGTGTGTATAATACAGTTCGTAAAATGAAAACACGAATACCATTTTAAGCAGATACATCGGCAAAAAGCCTACTAAAGCATGCTTCCCAGAATTCAAAATATCAAGGCTTACCTGAAAGTACAAGCATTTTGACGCGGGTTGCCCCCAGAATTCATAGAGCCATCAATCTTTAGCAAGCTCTTACTCTGCTTCGTCGTAGTTCACTGTCTGACGTCCATAAGTTAAGAATAATGCTTTTGGTAAGCAATGCTTACAAAAAGCAGTCTATGGGACCCAACTGCCACATAAATTGTTGTTTGTAAATACTGCTTACAAATAGCATTATTCATAACTTATTCTAAGTAGTTCCAATAATATCAAAGATTCCAACAAGAAGAAATAGAGAGCATTATTCTGGTCGTCCAAAATGAGAAGCCAATGGGGATAATTAGTACTATAACTTCCTATCGTCTCTTTTTCTTCAAAAGTGAAGCAGCTTGCAAAACCAATCTATCAACCTCATCTAGATCCTGTAAGTCTAAGTTGTCTCCCAATGATTTGTCTTTTCTGGAGTCAGCAGATATTTGACGCAGATGTTCTTCAAAATCTTCTACTTCTCCGTCACTACGTACAGGAAACTTTTCAAACACATCCAGATAAAGGGGTTTTTCTGACTCCTCCTCATTCTCAGTGTCTGATTCTGTCTCAAAAATGTCTGACAAAGCTTCAGAATCCGAACCCATATCTGAATCCATTGTAGAATCACCATCATTAGGTTCATCACTTTTAGCCAGTATCTCCTTCAGCTTATCAGACCCCTCAAATTGCTGATTAGGAAGGAATCTTGACTCAAGATTATCAGCATTGCTTAATTGTTTTTCTTCAGTAGCATCAGTTTTACATTCGGCCTGAGCTCGAAGTAGCTCTAGTTCTTGCTCAAGTCTTGGAATATATTTCTTAACAGCTCTTAGTGCATCCCGATATTTGGATTTGTCTAAAGCCTGTTTTCAAGAGAAATAATAAACAGAAGAAGCAGATAAATGGACATCAGCTTACTAGAATACAGGTATGTTTTGAGACACATCAAAAGGAATGAGTAAGCCTATTAAGAGCATAATTGGCTAAGCATAAAAATTTAAATGTTTCCAAACATGTTTGGGTAACTTACTTTTAAGCAAAAGGTCATATATTTCAAAATAACTCTTACCTTACTTCTATAATAAGTAACTTTAATTATTTCCAACACTGACCAATAAAAAATGTTATTTATTTAAAACTTACTTATTTATTTGTAACTATTTAAACTTAATTAAACACACTCTAACCCAATAAAAAATACAAAAACATGATATTGTGACAATAAAAGGAATGACTAAACCTTCTTCCTAGAGAGAGTTGTCCTTGGCGACATTATCTCAGTTGGAGGCTGAGAGTAATTCTTCCCTCTGTACATAATAATAGTGTCATCTTCCTGTATATCAAGCACAATCCCACCACTCAATCTTGCCAACTCAGCAGCAATCTCCTTCACCTCGCCTGGTGAAAATGTCTTCACAATAACTTTTAGGGTCTGGTGCTTCTTCCAGTGCAAGTGCATGTTCAAAATCACACCCTGGTATATTCCACGCCTTCCAACTGGTACATAATTCTTGCACTTCTCGCCCATCTTAAGAAAGTAGAAGTGTTCTTCGGGGGTCAAAATCTCAGGGTCATGGGTAGTTTCAGAGGACTCTTTAGGCTCAATTTTCTTCAGTGCTTCAAGAAGTCTTTCCTCTTTTTTCCGAGCCTAAACGGAGACGAGAGATCAACCACTCATAACATTTTCAAATAACACTCATAGTCAACAAAATGCTTAAAATAGTCAATATTGATGCATCCTAGAAAATGTCAATTTACTTATTTTTTATCAGTAGAAAACCAGTAAAGCAGCTTATGTTTGTTCGAAATGGCATATTTGTATGCAGAATACATAAAAAATAGTAGGATCACACATAGGTTACTTCTATCCTCCTATTTCGCGGTTTAACCTAGCATCCTTGTATTATAGGCACACAATTATGTATATTAATTTTCATTGATAAGATGGTTTAGATAGTCTGCTTCATAAATAAAAATCTGACTATAGTAGGTTTCAATATATTGTACTTAACTACGATGGACAATAACATATATCAGAATATTGACATGTAAAATCAATCAATGTCCAGCACACTACATATAAATATTGACTTGAAGCTCATAGCTAGCAGGAAGAATGTAAAGGGAAAAAAAGAAAGAAAGAAAGAACACATCCGTTCACCGCATTAACTCAATTCTTGTATCTAAAACCAGCAATTATGCTATAAACTAAGTAAAGTGGGAGAAAGTAAACAGAATTGGAATAAGAATAAGATTTCTAACTTAGTCAATCTCTATGAGGATTTGTTTTTCTTGCCAGGTCATTCTACATATTAACTTGGATCTTGCATACCAGATAAGCATTTAAAACAAAAAGATCATGAAGTGAAGAACATAAACCATGGTGGTATAAAAGTAAGATTTCTACTTCGTTGGGGGTACGATAATGTTTGGGCACATTATCTCAATTCTTGTATATAAGCTACATATTTAAGTCGAATAGAACATTTTTTTTTAATGACCATGGGTGTCCTTAAGTCGAACAGAACATAAACCAAAATTGTATCAGAATAAGATTTTTACATTCCTCGTTTTATAGAAGATTTTTTCCTTTCAGGTTCAATCGCCACATTATCTCAATTCTTGCATATAAGCATGTAATTACAACAAACAAAACATGAAGTGGATGAACATAAACAAAAGTGTTACAAGAATAGGAATTCTACCTTACTCAATTTGTATAGAATTTTCTCGTCCTGTGTCATTCTTTCATATTCTTTCTTCTTCTTATACCTAAAAAACTTCAACCACCTCACCACTGCTCTCTTTCCCTTGAGCTTTTTCCTCTCCTTCCTTTTAACTTCACTCGACCCATCACCCAAAGCAGAACTTTTTCCACTCTGTTCTACCATTTGATCCATATTCCTGGAAACCCGGCTCGAATGAACCCACAGAACCCCTCCAAGATTAAGCCTCCGTGCCCCCATTTCATACTGCCAACGTTGCTCGACAGCAACAGGCACGAATCCGTCAAGAGTCTTGCATAAATATAAATCGCAGAAACTACTCAAATATTAGCTATTTCTAAAAACGAACACAAAACAAAGAAGCAATTTTTTAATGTGATTTCGAAAGGGCATCGCGTGAATATACAAACAAAACTTTACCATATAAATATAATCATATATATTCAAAATACTGGGAAAAAATACCTGGTTTTGTTAAGTGTGGAATGCGATTGGGACAAGAGTGTCATAAAAGACCGAGGATAATTGAATAGATGTTTGAGCCGGCATTTGCATGCTAATTGTTTCATCGCCATTTTTTCTCGTTCGCAGCTCTGTCACGCTGTAATCTGCAGTTGAAGGATTTGGAGAAGAGATGATTTCGATTCTGGGCTTCGGACATGGACAAACAAACCCTAACCAAAAGAATAAGGGCAATTTACACAAACAAAGGAAACATAGGGGATTGAATTGGAAAATACTGGTTTGTTTCAAATTTTAATCTAGTTCGGACTATGTTATTTTTTAGGTAATATTAACGCATCAAAATATCTATTCATTTCTCAATAAATCTTCAAATTTGATTAATTATTTAAAATGATAAATGAAAATATAATCTTCATATATGACATACTCTGCATCATCATGTATTATTATTAATCGATAATATACGTGAGTGAACTTGAGAGTTCAAGTTGAAGCCAAAAAAGAGTTCATATTTGTCCAAAATAATCGATACACATAAGATATACGAAAAAAGAACTATCGAGACATATATATAATATCTTTTGAACACACATATTTGATGTACATTTAACTATTTTTTATATTCATTTAAATCATTCGATGTGTCTATGATATAGTTCTTGAAATGAGCTTCGAGAGAATATAGAAGATTTATGCATTCGACTAACATACAATCGTTAATAAATTTTTAAAGTTAGCTTGTTATTGAAATTCTTAATTTTTTAAATGATGTTTCTTTTGACATTAAAAAAAATTAAAAGTTTATTAGGAAATTTTTTAAATGACGTCAAAAAAATTTTGTTAGATTATTTAAAAAATTAATTGATCGAGACGAAAAAATAACAATAAGAAAAAACAATTCCTAAAAATGATCGAATTTCTTTTATATATAAAAATTTTTTAGATCTTAAAATAATCAAGATGAAAAATTAGTTGGCCTCAATTTTGTGTTTCTATAATTGAAATGTATTTTCTGAGGATAAGATAAATGCTCCCTTGATGCATGGATTAAAAACTCAAATTATTGGAGCTCATAATTTATATATTAAATATTATTTTAGTATGAGTGGTTATTTTACATATAAATGACGTATTTGACGATAACTATATTCAATATAATTAAATCGTGTAATTAATCGAATCTTTTTTTATTGTTTAATATTCAATCGATTTAATAAAAAAACTTATTTACGTGTAATATTATTTTATGGAAGATTCTGCAATTGAAAATAAAAGAGAGAAAAATGAAAAAAAATGATTTAAAGGAGTCAAACACAAACTGAGTCACAGTATAATATTTTGTCACTAAATGGGGTTGAAGTTTTTATTTAATCACCCAATTTTGATATATTTGAATTTAATCCTTCAAAATTTATATACATCTAAAATATTCAATATCGTCAAATAGATTAATCGACATCTTTTTGACTGAGTATTAAATTTTTTCAACAATATGCTAAGTTTTACTTTGATTTATCGCAACTGCTTTTAAGAAGTAAGCAATATATATTATTCAACATACTTCCTGTGACGTTATAAGGGTAAAATAGATTTGTATAAAAAAATATATCAATCACCAAGAAAAAAAGAGGAAAAAATTATTACGACAATGCTCCGTGCATCACAGAGCATTTGCTCCGTGATACAATTTTTTAGACATATCAAATGATTTAAATGAATATCGAAAATAGTTAAACGTACATCAAACATGTGTGTTAAAAATGCGTATAACTCGTCATTTTTTCTCTAAAAAAATTAATTATTTTATTAATGTTTATTATTTTTTAGTAACAATTTTCTCAATATAATTTATATCATTTTCTTTAAAAAAAAATTATGCGTATGACATCAACTATTTTTTTTAACGTAAAAATTCAAATCAGGCACACTATTTTTTACTTTTTGTTATTTTGTCTACATACAAAAAAATCATTAAACCCTTAGTGTGATAGTTACTGTGCGAGGAAGTTGAGGGTAAAATGAGAAATATCTAAATACGTCTTGAATGAACAATAACCAGTTGATTCGCTCTTTTAAGATTGTAGTGATTTACTAAACGTTTATTAAAAAGTACAACAAAATTTATTGTCTATGTATTTCCTTGACGTGTATGTAATAGTTTCAAAAATTACATTGTCAATTTTTATGGTGAAATTTGAGAGAATATGTATGTTAATCTTTATATGTAGGGGTGGACCCACAGCAGGTCTTGGTGGGTCACATTTTGAATTTTTTTTATCATTTTATTTTTATTTTTATATGAATTCATCAAAATTTAGGGGAGATTTTTCTATTTGGCCTGTCACTATTCCTTTTTATGGAAATATCTATATTGCCCTTAATGAAATGATTCTTTTTATATTGCAACATATGTCTTAATCCTTTAAACATTCTATCATCTGTTTACTCTATTTTGGATATTTGAATATAAAATCATTCTATAATTTAATAAATAAGAATAATCCATAACATATATATCATATAAAATACCATATTCTTCTAATGGTAAATTTGTACTTTTTAATTGAGATATAATATTTTTTATTTCTTATAACATTCTTTCTAATAAATTATCTAATCCTTCAACTGTATATTCTAGCATTTATCAAAATAATTATCATGCAATTGTCCCCGCGATTCTTTTAAGATATTAAAAAGATTCATTCTAATTTTAGCAAAAATTTAATAATTTTACCTTAGGTTTGATCTAGACTTGTATTTTTAGAATCGAGTGATCTTCGAGCTCTGAATTTGTAAACTGATTCCTTCAACGGCCTCCTGCCTTCACGAAATTGTTACTGTTTCAGTTATTTGCTCTCACTGTATCAACTTCTAAAAAATAAAATTCTAGATTTCTGTTAAGGAAAACTCTCTTTTTACTAAAACAAGAAGGAAACTTTCTATTAGATCTTTCAAGAATCTATGGGAAAAAAATTTAGAAACTCATATTGATATCAAAATATTGAAATTTTATTTCTATTGGGATTGATATAAGACTTATATTTAGTACAAAGGGATTTCGAAAAAACTGATTTTTTAAACTGAGAATAGGCTATTGCTTACAACTCGAGAATTCAAGATAGGATGATATGATATTCTTCTATGGTAATGTCTCTATTTATACAAGTTTTTGAGACTCTATTACATTATTGAATATATCAGCAAGGCACACTTGCCTTTCTATTTTCTTCCTTGGGCCTACATCTTTACTTGCTGGTTCAATTTTTCTATCCAAAGAGTATCTTTTTCTATTATTGCTCTTTATCTTCAATGTCTTCACATGTAATATTATTGTCCTTCATACACATTTGTCAAAAGGTGCTTTGTCTTCTTCTTTTATTTCTTCATATGCAGCTGGGCCATTCCCTTAACTGGCAGGATTCTTTTATAGTGGTAGGATATCCTGAAAATTGATGTATATCAAATCTTGTAATATAATCTTTTAAAATTTCTGATTTTGTATATCCTCTATTGGATACCAACGTCCAATTTTCATATTGGCACAGGCACAAGAATTTTTTATCAAACAAATTTTTGACAATGTTGTAGATGGCTTTAATTCTAAATGCTCTTCTATGTTTGATCCATGATTTTGTCACTGTTAGGACTTCTCTATTATTTTCTGTAACATCAATTTGGAAATTGGCTGCAACATATCCAATTGAGATTATGTGTTCAATTGGATAGTAAACAACTCCATCATATTATGGACTAATTGAATAGAATTTTAAAAATATCTTCCTTCGCTTGGCAAATCTGGATACTTCCTTAATGAATATGTCATCAAACTTTGAAATTTCAATAAAATCTTTTCCTGGATAGATCAAATCCATAAATCCAAAATCTGTCATGATTTTTATAAATGAATGGTCACCTCCTTCCATGGCCGTTATTCTAGGGTTAATATTATTTCTCGGAGAAATGAAATATGAATCATTTATTTTTATTTCATAAGCGATTTTGACTATTTCGGCATATTTTTCTTCATTTGGATCTAAAGAGATTTTATCTTCTGGTCCATGATGCTGATTATTTTGGTATCTCTTTTATCTCCATGTATCATAACTTTCTTGATTGATGACACAGAAATGGAATCTCCTTTATTATCAGTTGATATGTTGTCACGTCTGGGTCTACTGCTGCATTCAGCTGTCCCTGTTTGATATTAATTTGGAAAACTCATTTCTGAACTCTTTGGTAAATCTGTTTCAAACAGTATATTTTTTAGTTGTGCTGCAATAGCATCAACTTGTTTTTTGAGTTCCATGGCAAATTTATGATGCTCAGTAGTGATATTCAACAATATTTTCATATTTGAGTTGAACATTTCTGAGATCTGGGTTGCTCCAAAACTTGTATCTTCAGATTCTTTTTTAAGAAAATTTGTCTTTTCTTGTATATGTAGAATAGATTGGTATAATTCCATGGCTCTGGCTTTATCCATCAGCAAATTCTATGTTTCTGCTAAGAAAATCTGCAAGAAAATTATTAACTCCTTTAATATGGACTATATCGAAATTATAAAATGCTAAATAAGCTTGCCATCTATGAAGCCTTCTGTATTGTGGTTCTGAGGGTAACTTATTTCTGACTAATCCTGCAACTTGAGAATTATCGATTTCAATAATAAATTTCTTGGATAATAAAAATAATGAGAACTTTTTTATTCCTCTAATAATTGCTAGTAATTCTTTTTTATGAGTAGTATAATTTATTTCTGATTGGTTAAAAGTTCCACTCGAGTATCTACAAATTTCATTAAGATCTGTTTTTAATATTGCTGCCCAATATTTATTTGAAGTATCAGTATTAATAATCAAATTATTTTTTTCATCTGGTAATCTTAATTTTGGTAAATTTTTGTATTCTTCTTTTAAGGATTTAACTATTTACGTATGTTTTTCATTCTATCATTTAGTATTTATTTTTCTACGTAAAATTTGGATTTTATGTTTTTTTTTAGAAAGATTTTCAATAAATCCTTCTGCGTAATTTAAACATCCTAAAAATTTTTGAATTTGTTCTTTGGATTCTAATTTATCTGAAAAACTTTCTATCTTTTTGGATATATGAGTCTGTAGTTTTATCCCTCTTTTATCTATTGACAATCCAAGAAAGTTTATATCTTATTTTTCTATTATAAATTTCTTTTTAGATAGTACAATTCCTTCTTTTTTACATTCATTAATAA